AAATGAAATAGAGGCTGTCAACATTAACCACATTAAATATGAGTATGTGGAAGTGTTTGTAAAGTTTTTAAAATGCATTATGGTAAAAAAATATGTAAGAAGCACAGTTTTAGGCAAGTTATTTCTTTGGGAAGAAAAGAGGTCAAAACGGACCAAGTCTAAGGCGAAAGCAGTGAAAAAAAAATCCCCACATAAAAATCCTGTTTTCCCAGGGCCATGCATTTGTCCCCTGTGCAAGCTATGGGTCACTTCACTATTTTCTAAGACAAGAAATATTCAGCAAGATGAAGAAAATGTCTTAAGGAAGACTTTCAGTTAGAAAACTTTATTTTTAAAATTTTCATACATATTGTTAAAAAGGAGACTTAAAGTGAGATTTGAGCCTTTGCAAAGTTGATAGTGATCAAAGTTTTCATGTCACTAAAATTCTGGATTCTTTTGGAATGAAGTTTTAATATTCCCCTTGAATTCTTAAGCATTGGTTCCTTTATTGCTAAGTTACTACAAATTTTAAGACTTGCAATCTCTGTCACTCAGGTCATCCATGAACTCCGGAAGAGCAGTGCATAGACCAGGACGGCGCTCCCCAGCAGGAGGGCCAGGCCCAGTCTCCAGCAGGTCCTCTGGGACTTCCGCCATTGCCACAGCCCCTCCAGCAGCCTCATCCCCAGGGGCCTCTGCACACCAGCCGCCAGCATCGCGGCCACCCTGCGGAGCCTCTCCTCCGGGTCGGCGCCGTGCAGCGCCTGCGCCAGGCCGTACACCTGGTTGGTGTAGTGTGCGCCCCCGCGCAGGCGCACCAGGCCCTCGACCAGGCCCAGCAGCTGCTCCACCTGCGCCTGGCGCTCGCTGCCCGTGGCGCGGTTGTTGAGGGCGCAGACTCGGCCCTCGCACTCGGCCACCAGATCCCGCAGGGCCCGGTTCTCCGTGCAGCGCACGTAGTCCTGCACAGAGTCGCCGGCCAGGTCCTCCTTGTGGGTGAAGACGAGGACGACTCGCGCCACCACGGCCTGGCCGAACAGCTCCTTCACCTTGCGCAGCGCCTGCTGGTCCTGGGCGGTGAAGCGGCCCAGCTGGGTGACCAGCAGCAGCGCGTGCGGCCGGGGCGCCGACAGCAGGTAGCAGCGCGCTCTCTGCAAGCACTCGGGGTCTGTGTTGTGCACGTCGGAGCCGAAGAGGTCGGGGGTGTCGATGACGTGCACGCGCCACCTGTTCCAGCGCCTGCTGGCAGCAGCGCAGGCTCTGGTCACCGACGTGGCTCCCAGCCTGGACAGGAAGTGCCTATGGCCCAGGACGCTGTTCCCGGTGGCGCTCTTCCCGGCTCCCGTCCTGCCCACCAGGATGAGCCTCAGCTCAGGCTCCTGCCGGGACCCGGTGTGGTCTTCTGACCCTGGAGGACCAAGGGTTAGAGTCCGGCATCAATTCAACCAACTTCCACTGGGCAGCTCCTCTGCTTTCCAGCCAAGGGCCTTGCCAGTTCACCCCAGGCTGGAGACCCCTCTGGGAATTACGTGTATTTGGTCACGAGTGAGCCCACTCCCCTCTTACCCTGAGCTGAACCACAGGATGCATTGCTGCGATCTGTTCTTACCATAGGGGTCTTCTTCATCTCTTGCCATCTTCCACCCTCTCAGATGTCCCTGAAAGTCCCAAACACGATTGGCTCATTCACGTGTTATCCCTCTGAATAGCATAACCACCTTTTCGTTGTGCCAGGTAAAATCCAAAGAACTGAGGATGTCACTGTTATAAGACATGGCCCTTGCTCGTGAGGGTGGGAACATACAGGTGTGTGCTTTGGGGAGGGGCAGGTGTCCAGAGAGGAGGCAGTTACATTTTGTGAGTTATAGTAAATTGTGCTAATACTTTTTGGAGAACAACAACAGAAGGGCCAGCACCTGGGTGGCTTAGACCCATGGGTTTTTCTTTTCAGGGACTCAAATGCAAACAGCCAAAGGCAAGTTTTCACATTTACTCTGTGTAATTTATACTAAGCCTCAGGTATTAATTTTCCCAGATAATAATTCAAGGTCAATGTCATGAGCTCCTGATATAAAAAATTCTCAGAGGATTCAGCAGCCAGAAGACACTTAGTTAAATCCTGAGGACTGGGAAGTTTACCAAGGGACTTACAGACCTA